TACGTTGGAAAAAAGGTTAATCATTTTATTTCCTTCTGATTTTGTTCGATCATAACGAAAAATAAGTACCGAGTATATATAAGATTTATAATATATTTATTTTCGCATAGAGTCCCGGTTAACGTGCTTTTTTATTATAGACTGGAAATTTTTCTTTTAGTAGATAATTTAATCTAATTGAATTGTTTTTCTCAGCAAAAGATTTAGTATCCATTAAATGTCTGAGTTCGAAACAATGAGAATTACATTTTTACCGAATATGAAGTTCCAAGAAAATAATCCACACATGTTTTTAGTTCCTTTCTAGAACTTTTTATTGGTTCTTGTTCAATATTTAACATCCTTGTATTTATATTCATCTATATTATGGTCATGTTTGACAAACAAGCTTTAGTCATTGGAAATGATGATTACGTACTACTGAACAAGTTAAAGTCGTGTGTCTACGACGCTGAAATGATGACTCATTCTTTACATTCAATAGGTTTCAATGTACAACCTGCGATCAATCTTGGAAATAAGCAAATGTTATCAACCTGTCGTCAATTTGCACAATCTATTCGTCCCGGCGCAACCGTTGTGTTCTACTTTTCTGGCCATGCTGGTGAGTTTAATGGGAAAAATTATTTGGCCGGATTAGATTCCATTGGAGCCTTTGATCTCAATGTTCAAGACTTACTCAAAGAGATGCATCAAAATCAACCAAGAGTGGTTATCCTCATTCTGGATTGTTGCCGTAATCGTCTCGAGCTTTTATATAATTCTTATGGTTTAAATAAAAGCCCTCAATTGAGAAATGGTCTCGTACCAATGGGAGGACCACCATCAACGATTATTGCTTTTTCCAGCGCGGCAGGAAAAAGCTCTGATGGTGCAGGTCCTGGTCAAAATAGTTTGTACACCAAATATCTACTTCGTTATATTACGACACCAAATATGGATATTGATATCGTGCTGAAACAGGCAGCTGTAGGTGTTCAAAGAGCCTCAATAAATGGTCAAATACCATATCTGTATTCGAATTGTAACGAACGTATTTGTTTGAATGTTCTTCCATGGCCCAGTATTAACACTTGGCCCAATGCTATGCAATTCAATCCTCTCATGAGTAAGCTATTGTCAAAAATTGTCATGATACTCATTTTTTTTCAAGTGTATTTAGTGATATCAGATCGTCTTCGACAGCAAAATCAATATGTGACTCAGAGTATTTGGCCTCACATCGGAAACTTTTCCTATCCCTACTATGGCCATGTTGGCATGATAAATAATCAATATTCAGTGTATGGAAATCCATGGTACAATATCTTCAGATCTCCTTATACATAAACTTAACTATAAACAATGTTTCTATAGCAATATAGTGGCTATAATCTAAAAACTATCTCTTTCTTTTCTTCTGTTAAAATAAACCAGAGTAATATTACTATGTCAATATCACACTATCGACTTGAGTATAACAATTAATTGATACAAATTCGTCTTTGTGGCGTAGATGTGAGGCGAGAGAAAAAATAGTCACACCCATCCTCAAGATCGGTTCTATCCAGTTAATTTTGCCAAATAAATTTTTATTTTATACTTCTCACATAGTGCACAGTGGGCAACTAAGTGGACATTAGGTGAAAAATCGAAAGCGCACTTTTGTAAGATTCAATTAGTGTTAGATATCCTTCACACTATGGACTACTTAATGGTGCTAAAAGTTTTACTACGAAGTTTAAGTAGAGTGGAAAATGACCGAATTGAAAATAATAGAAAATTAGTCTGAAAATCGTGCCATCTATACAACACATACGTTTTTTTTACAGAATCCACTGAAAAGTGACAACCAAAAACGATACATATTATCAATTTGCATAAAACAGCTACCAATTTATAATAAAAAAGTGGTTAATTACTACTGAAGGTTTCTTAGAAAAAAATTTTCGTTTTTTCCATAGTGCTGTACCAAACGACTATATTAGTAAAATGAGCGCCCCCTTCATCCCCCAATTCGAACCTTATTCAAACTTTGCCAGAATATTCCCCCATATGTCCGCTATCACCACAGGTAGCATAAATTAGCATAAATATTCCTGGACCATACAGGATGATTTCGAAAAAATCATGGTTTTTCAGGTATATCATATTTTTCTTGACTAAGAAATGTTTTTTATTCAATATAAATATCATATTTAGATGTATGATTTGTTAGCTTTTACAATAAAAAAGGTTTTGACAAAAAATTAGGGTAAGGGTCCCCCTCAGTGACTTTTGATTAAAAAAATTTTTTTTTTGGATTTCACTTTTTTTCATCAGCAGCTATTTCTGAAGAGTAGAAACTAGGATTTCTGTGAAAAAACTGAGATTTGAACACGAAATAAGTCACGTCCACATGCCCTATAGAAATTGCCCACTGTGTAGTGTTCAAAGTTTTCTATCTATTCACTACATGATCAACTATAAAATATAGTCTTAAAATAGAAAAAGTGAAAAAGACAAAAATTTTTGTTTTATAGGTTTCAAAGCATTTTCTCACATCACGGAGGGTGTGAGTGTGTGTTGATGTGAGTAAAAAGAGAAAATACGTCAGCATTTACCGTCTCTCATTTTCATGATTTATATTGCAAAGTAAAGATCGACCGGTCGAAGACTCAAAAATGACATTATCCCTGTCGAAATATGCGTAACTTAAGTTTTCTTCAATAGTACTTCAAAATACGATAGATGTCATTATTCTACAGATATATTTTTCTTCCTACAAAATATGATTCATAAGATGTGTCATTCAATGTATACTAATGCTTAGGAAAAAACCAACATTTTGATGACGAAATGTGTACAGAACGAAAAAGAAAAAAAAATATTTTTCCCATATAGACAATATACTTTACTTTTAACTTATACCGATTACAAAACAGTCATTTCGTGAAATATATATTATTTAATAAATGGATGAAATATCGAAAACAAACGAAACAATCTACAAATTTCGTTTTAATACTACTAAGAAAACTATTCAAATTACACAACAACAACTCAGTCATTTTCCTTATTTATTTGCTCTTGTAAATCATACATATGATTTCTCAGTCAATAAGAACGACGATGATGAATATATATTAGAATATCCTATTTGTTATAACTGGTTTATGGCGATCTTTCAATCAGTTATTAAACAACAACCATCTGCTCTATTCACTGAATTAACACACGAAGCAAATGTATTACGTGTACTTGAACTCTATGATTATCTATGTATTGATCCATTACCACTTCCTCTTCTTAAAAATCAAAAACTTGTTTTGACAAATCCGATTGATCTTGATGATACGAACCAACATATTGACTGGCGTCGAGCGAATATTTGTGAAGTACGTAATATAGCTGCTCAATTTATCATTGGTATTAGTAAAAATGTCTACAATTTAAATGATTCTGGAACAAGAAATAGTATCTTCACATTACTTATGGATATTTTCTCACATCCAAATATTTTTCATTCAAGATTTCGTTATCATACATTGAAAGTTGTGGAAAAATATTGTTTTTCGTTATTTTCTGATAGTCAACAAAGACAACTGCCAACTACTCAACAAATTATACAAAATATTAAAATTGATTTTGTTAGATATTTAGACAATGAGAATCAATCTCTTCCACTAAACTTCTACAGTACTTTTGCTTGGAAAGGTATTTATGTATCGAAAGATAAAGTTGATACTGATTTTCAAAGTATCCTTGATATATATTTGCCTAAGAGCAATATTGATTCAGTATATTCAACTGAAATCGATTTCTTCTTGGAAAACATTGAACTGGATTGGGAACAGGCTTCATACTCAGATTTCTGCGTGGTAGTAATTGAACCGAATTGGGAACGGCGTTCATACTCAAATTTCTACGTACGAGGTCGTATAAGACCAATTTCACGCCCACATCTCCGAGATTTCATAAATCTTATAACATCACGGAATGCTAGTCCATATGAAGATGTTGGAAGGTTTCAATATGATCTCCAGAAAGAGGAAGAGCGAAAGAAAAATGAAGTCCAATCAGCTCGATCAGGACGCTTTAATACATTACCGAAACGACCAAAAGTTGACAAATTCAAACATCGATCTGGACCAAAAGCTCAAAAACATCGATAAAATTTTTTTCATAAAAATAAATTCTATCGTATGCCGCTAATGGTGTAAGCATGAATATGACCAAGACTATGACTCTAAGATAATATATCATATTTTTCAAAACAATAATAGATCGTTGTTTTTTAAATTCTTTGCATATCATACAAAAGATGTTCATGTTTTTGTATATGAGGGTGTGAGATGATGAACTTGATCAAAACTTGTAAAAACGAAATAATGACATGTACATATATGAGGTAGAACTAATTTTCATTTATTAGAATTATATGAGATTACCTATACAATACAAATGTCATAATTCTTAATGTAAATCATCATCGTCGATATGTAGTAAGAAGTCTTCGAACTATTTGATCAAGAACAATATTAAATTCCTTTTTGTACATTTTCGATGGTAAAAATGCAAATAAATAACTCGAAAGAAACAACGAGGAGTAGATAGGGTAATTTCATACATTCAGTTATAAATGATATAATTAAACGTGGTAAAGCTAAAAATACTAAAGTACATAAAGCAATAAGATGAGATTTATGTTGTTTTAATTGTAATTGTAAATGTTCTTTAAATGTTAATCGTGGTTGAATAGTTAAACGTGAACGTGCTATTGAAATAATAATATTTATCAATAATGGGAGAAGAAAATGAAAAAGTGTCATAAATGAATTATAAATATAAATTGATCAAGAATATTGAACAACACACCATATACGTTGTTCATCTATATCAATATCATCAATTAAATGATGATGAATTGGATCATGAAGATGTGTTAACATTATTAAAATAAAAATACATAAACTTATCCATTTATGTACTGTAATAACACGTTCAATTGAAACACATCCATAAAGATAATCATTAAATGTTAAACATACTTGAATAACCAGATCTAATATTAAACAATTCACATATAATATTGATCGATTATTTAAAATAAACATTTGAGATAAAATTAATTGCCAAAATTTAATTATTAATATAATTAATATTAACATTGAATTCCATGAAGAAATAAATAAATAAAATCCACAACCAACATTTCGAGTTTTTTTCATATGAAATGTTAATATTGATAATATTCCACTTATTAATCCGAAAATAAACATTAATGTTGTTATACCTATACTTATTTGAATTAATAATGGTTGATTTGATAATGATAAATTTGGTTTGATATGATAAGCTAAAATATAATCAAGTGATAAAAAAATCCTTTGTTTGAAAATTGACATTTTATTCCATAATAACAATCGGAACATATACATTTTGTTACAGTTGGACATGTTATATTATCTTGAAAACATTGTCCATTATTTTGACAATAATTTAAACCTTGACAATTATATATTCTTGTTTGATTAAATAAAAAACAATTTGAAAAACGATCGAAATCACATATACACATATAAAATTCATCATAAAAACACATTAAATTTTTATATTGCCGACATATCAATGGATAATATTTAATACGATTATATAAAGGATACAATTGAAATGTTTTATTTAATAATTCATTTGTATGAAAACATTTTTGATTTGATAACATTTTTGTTTTAATATTTTCAGATTGAATAAATCTTTCTCGTAATACAGCTAAATAATAATTTTGTTTCGAAATTTCAATAAGAATAATATGAAATGGTTGTGTTATAAAAAGTTTTATTGTATTTTGTCCATAGATAATTTTTTTCAATGTTGTTGTATGTTGATGTTTAGCATTTTGAAATGCTGTTATATAATGTACAAATATCAATGATATTTTCTTTATTATTTCTTCATTAAATTCAATATCAATTTGATTTTTAGTATTTTCACATCGTATTCCATAAAATTCTTCTTGACATAAACATATAAAATTATTTGTTAAATGGAAACGATTATCATTCGGTATAAATAATCCATTATTTTCACATGATTGACAAAATGAATGTTTTAAATAACATTTTGAACCAAATTTATTTATTGGACAAATACAAATCGATGATGTTATACATAATGAATCAGATGAACAAGAACAATTATGTTCTTTTTGACAATAAATACCCGAATAACCTTGATTACATTTACAAAAATATGACGAATTTTTATTAATATATGCAATACATTTTCCATGAATACCACAACATAATGGACAAATTGTTGGTTGTTCGTTCGATGAAATAAATAATTGTGTAGCTATTCGATTAACAGGTAAAAATTGGAATGGTATAGATAAATGCCAACTTCCCCAATATGTTAAATCTGTTTTATTATAAATATCTATATGGATTGAATAATTTGATGAAGAATTTTTTGATTGATCTGGATAAAGTAAATAAAGATTAAATTTTGTATTACAATCTCGTTTAGGTACACATGTTATTTGTTGATGATAAGATAAAATTTCTCTTTATTGATCAATAATCATAATAAGAATTTGAAATATAGATATTAAATATGTTGAAGAATGATAGATAGATTGTAATGTTAAACTTATACGTTGATTTTGCCATTGACATCGTGAACCAAAATAACTTGGAGGACAAAGACATTTTTTTGTTTTATTTGATTTATAGAAAATTCCAATTCCTCGATTACAATACCAATCTGTTCGACCAGAAATTCTTTCTTCAAGTGAAATATAATTATCATAAAAATTATTCGTTTGTTCATGAGAAATAATATTCGATGTTATTGATGGAAAGTAACTTAATCGAGAAGTAATCAGAAATGGTCTTGAATTTTCACTTGAAGGATTGCCATCTAACATTCTGCATCTATATTCATCGGATATTACGAAAACAGTAGCTATTTGTGTGATGAATCGTACGAAAAGTTGCATTAAAAAAATATCGTCGTCTGCTGATGGTAAAAACGATTATTATTGACAAATATGTTGTGAAGTAATACATTTTGTTTGATTCCATAAGAAATAATACGTATTATTTTTCATCGTTATATTATTAAAATAAATTTCACGAAAGGGTCGTGAATCTTCACAATCCAAATATGATTCCATTAAATTAACACTTGGTATGCAATAATATTTATTTAAATATTCATTGTAACATTCATGTTCATTGAATGAACAGTTTTTTCTTGGACAATTAAGTTCATCATCACCATTGAGACAATGCCAGATATTATCGCATCGAACATATGGATTATTACATAGCCACCAGTTACAATGTGTTTCATCGATAAGAAATCATAAAACTCATTACAAATAAGTCCAAATGGTATAATTCCTTGAAAAGCATTACGTTCATCATAAGTTAATCCATCTTCTCCATCTAAACAATCAGTTTTCCCATTTTCAAGTGCAACTATTGATAAACATTTGTTTGGTTCTGATGAACAAATAAATCTATTTGAATCATTTAATTGACAAGCAGAAAATCATTCATCTTCACCATAATAACAATCATTAGAATCGTCAGATAATCGATGTTTTGAAATACATTTTAAAGATTGTCAACAATGAAATAAAGATGAATATGAATAAGTTTTATTTGTACCAATTGTTGAACAACGTTGAATAAGATTTCGAACTATAACATCTATAAAATACCAATCGTCAATTGTTTCATTTATTAGACTAATAGTGTTACAACAATTGAGTCTGTTTTGTATTCCATTGTATGCTCTTACAAATGAATATGCGTACTCCGAAAATACAAATACAGAATTGCTTACAAGATTAACGAAAACATTGAATTTTTTCAAGTAATCAATAAAAATAGATGATAAAAATAAAATTTTATCAATTAACGTAGTGAAACTATATAGTTGTTGTATAATAAATACTAGAGTTTTCGACTCTTCCAGCAGTCATCGTCAGCAGAATTATCATTTAATATTGATGTTGATGATATAATAGAAAAAATAGTACGACGTATGCAACCACAAATTTGAGAGTCAGTGTGAGTGTGGATGTTTTCTGTTTAGACCCACATTCACACTTTCAATTCGTTGCCTGGAGAAAGAAAGACAAGCGTGCACTTTCAAACTGATTTTGTCTCGAACAGAAAAAGGTAAGAACAAAAAAAAAACATTTTCTATTGCGAGGAAAGAAAAGAGCACATAAAAACAGAAAGCATAGAAAGAGTGTGACGTTGTCTACTGCCGTAAACGAAGTCTACGATGAAAAATTCGAGGAGATCTATTGAGTTAACGAGGATGCCATTGAGCTATTGATCAACGGGCGAGCATGCACAACGACTCAGCTGGAGTCATTCGGACGTGGGTATGAGTGAGGAAAAAATAGAATAATCAACCACACTCACACCCACCCACCCTCTAAGAAAAAAGAATACTCATCGACACCCACATCCCACACCCCTTTTACACGGACGTTGATCGTAAAAACTGATTCCAGTTAACTGTTATCATAACTAGAAAGAATTTGGTCTTGAGCTGGTGTTTTACTGTTGATCTCCACTCTCATTTATACAGCCTTTTCCCCGAAAAAAAACCGCTTGTTGTTTTTGTTAGTATTTTCTTCGTCCTATGCCAGCGTTGACAATGTATGTGAAGAAAGAGAGAGTTTGTTTTTGATGTTCTGTTTGAAAGTAGACGTACAACTTCATTCGCCATTACATTTAAAAGAACAACTCGCACAATAAACCCGCATAGCTGAAGAAAAAAACAGGAGAGCATTCAACGTGTTTTGATTTGCGTGACAAGCTACTGTTAAACAAATGGCTACTAATAAAACAAAGTCGACTGAAAGGTCTAGTTCAACGAAAGCGAGCGAAAAGCCTGTCACTTCCAATCTTGAATCATTCGCTTGCTTATGGCTCGATCAAAACATCAACTCCACACAAGATAACCAAGACACTCTGAAAGCCCTCCGTCAAGCTATTAATCACCTTCAAACATTCGATGATTCTGATGAGTGTGAACAATATATTCGCCAGATTACTCGAGAAAAAGTGGTTCTAATCGTTTCGGGTTCATTAGGTCGACAAGTCGTGCCGTGTCTTCATGATCTTCCGCAGCTTTCCGCCTTCTATGTTTTTTGTCAAGATCAGAAAGCGAACGAACAATGGGCAAACAAACATCATAAAGTAAAACATGTCATACTGCTTTCAGTAGAACCTATTTATTCACATGTTTTAGAACAATGGTGTTTTTGTTGACCGTGCCAAACTGATCGCGCAGATTTCCAAAGATCAAGTTGCGCGAACCAAAATAGAAGATGGTGCTGCGATTTCGGTGATCACCTCTGGAGCTCAATCGCTCGAAGCTCGCAATGCTATTTTCATGTGGTTTCAATTATTTATTGAGGTGCTGCTTCGTATGCACCACAAATCCAGTGATCGACAAGAGCTGGTCGAGATCTGTAAAAAGAGTTACAAAGGAAATGACGAGGAGATGAAGACAATTGCGGAGTTCGAAAAAGCGTACAAACCAGAGAATGCCATTTGGTGGTACACACGTGAATCGTGCTTTTATCGAATGATGAACAAGGCTTTACGTGTGCAGGATTTTGACATGCTGTTTGCCTTTCGCTTTCTCATTACAGACATCGCCAAACAAATCAAACACAATCATGATAAGTTCATTCGAACTAGCGACACGCGAAATAAGTTTTTAGTTTATCGGGGTCAAATAATTGCCACGGACGAATTAGAATTGATGAAGAACAGTGTTGGGCAGTTTCTCTCCATGAATTCATTCTTATCTACTAGTCGCGACCGTTCAACTGCTCTCCATTTTTCTCGACTAACTCCAGTTATAAATGGTCTCGAACGCATTATCTTTGATATTGAAATTGATCCACGTTTACAAACTAAAGCATTTGCAGATATAACTCAGAGCAGTTATTTTCAAAATGAAGATGAAATATTGATCATTCTTGGCGCACTATTTCGTATCGAGAAGGTTACTGAAGATAAGAAGGATCGATTGTGGGTGGCTCGTTTGTCTTTGGCTAGTGAAGATGATTTTCATTTAAAAGAAACATTTGCTTACATGAAAGACACAATTGGAGATGATACTGATCTGGATTCACTAGGGAAAATCTTGCTTGAGATGGGCGAATATGATCAATCTCAGAAATGTTATGAACGTATGCTGCATGATTTGCAAGTGAAAATGGGCGACTGTCATATGGGTTTTGGCAAAACACACTTCTATAAAAAACAAGATGAACCAGCAATAGTTCATTTAGAGCAAGCAATGAAAGTACGAGAAGAAGTACAAGGTTCGAAGCATACCAGTGTTGGAGAAGTGTATAATTTTATTGGAGCTCTACAATGGTATAGTCGAGAAGATTATGATGGGGCATTGGTCAATCTAAAGAAGGCGGTAACAGTTCTGGAAGAAGCAAAGCCATGTGATTTCATACTGCTGTCAAGAGCTTACGGTAATATGGGAGCTACATACCACTGTATGCGTAAACATTCATTAGCATTGGAATATTACAATAAATGTCTTACGATCCAACAGTGTAACCTACCGGCAAATCATCCGCGAATAGCTATGACATATAATAATTTGGGAACCTTGTACCACGCTATTTCAAACGATGAAGAAGCACTGAAGTCTTATCAGAAATCACTGTCTATTAATCGAAAAATTTTACCACCTGCTCATGAAGACATTGTCCGAACTGAGAATAATATTCGTGACCTAGAAAATTTCATGAAAAAATAATCTGGCGTTAGAGTGAAGACACATTTTAGTGCATAGATATGTCCATTTATTATCGTGTGTGCTATCTCTACTTTTGAATAAAAATCCTTTCTTGTGATGAATATTTCAACTTAATAAAAAAAATTTCAAAACTGAATCATGCGATGATAATGCATGATCTAAGTTGCTGTACGATGGATCGACAACTTAATCGATACTACAATTGTAGGATTTGTAGACGATCATCTGTTGAAATGGCTCTAGGACGAGTCGTCGGATTTAGAAAGAGTCGCAACCTTTTTTTCATGATTGAAAGTGAGATACCAATAAAGGTGCCATATTAAAAAGTGAATGTACGGAAGAGGTAGATGTAAGATGCACTTTAGTACACATTTATAGCGTTGAATTCATACGTTCGGACAATGTAGAGTAACTGTTCACGATCATACTAATATCGATTTTGGAGGACGAAAAAGAATATCATGCTCATGCCCACGTTTCTCATAATTGCTGTTAGAGATAGTGTGGGTGTGGGCGAGTATTCTATTTTTTCTTTGCCACGCACACCCACCCTAGATTTTTAATGTCTGTTGCGATACCGTATCGACCGAGCTACTATCTCGAATGACAATCTGATCTGGTCAGTCTGTAATCAGTACGAGTCTTCTTTCTGGTTTAACAAATCAAGGGTGTGAGTGTGGGTGTAGATGTGTCTTCCTGAGCGACACTCACACCAACACCCTTTCCTATAAAGATAATATACCCAGTTTAGTATGAATAGCAAAAGAGTATCAGATAATGTTTTTCGATGTTTGTCTATGCAGACATTAAAACGTTTTCAGCATTGATAAGTATATATATTTATCAGTGTTGAAAAAACTTTAGCGTTTGTATCGACAAATGTTATCTAATACTCTTTTGCTATTTATACCAAGCAAGGTATACTGCATGTATAGGAAAGAGTGTTGGTGAAGAAAATACATCAACACCTGTCAACCCACACTGTAAATAGAATCTGTTTTGTTTTAAAAAAATCTATAGAATAGAAGTAATATTTTGAACTAGGAAATATTTAATGATTTTTCAATCAATTCGTATATTTTTAAATACAAGTATTTACAATAACACATATAAACGAGAAACGAAGTATTACGTATGATTATCGTTTTATGTGTTGATATTTCTTAACCTTATCATATTATTTTCCTCAGCAGTATGAAGTTCAGATAAAAGTTTAGAAAATGAATTGAGAATTGCGTAACCAAAAGTAAAACCAATTGCATTTATAGCTATACATAACTCATGAATTCGATCGGCAAGTGGATGTATTTCACCCGTAATAATGAATTGAAATAGAAAGAAAAGCGTAGGAAAACCAAGAATACTCATTGCGAAACAAATCTTCAAAATAAATCTTATAACAGTTATTTCACGTCTTGCTTGTAATGAACTACCACGATTAGGTAATCGATGAACATAGAAAATAAGTCGAAAATAAATAATTAATATAAAACATACTGGTATAAGATAACAAACAAGAAGTGAATAAATAAAACCTTTTATATTTATAAAAGATATAAGACAATGATATTGTTTAGGAAAATAAGAAAAAACATTTAATATCGTATATGCTGGAATTAGAACAACAAATGATATTAACCAACTGAAAATAATCATTAAGATATAAATTGAAATATCATTTAATGACATTTGACAAATTTTTATTGTAGATAATTTTGAAATGAAAATAATTCTAAAAAGACGATATAATGCTTGTAATAAAAAACTCAGATACATTTGACTTGTTAAGAAAAAAATTATACCAACTTGTATTCGACAAGCTTTTGAATCACCAAGATAAATGAGATTTTTTAAAAGAGAAAAATCTCCAATAAATGTACGAAAAAGTATTGAAATCCATGTTATATGATAGATAAAAAAAATTAAATAGGTATTACCAATAAGTATTAATGAAATATTATCATTGAAAACTGATGTTGAACATCGACTATTACTTTGACGTCGATAGAATTGATTATAATATAAACGATAAATAATAAGAATAAGAATAACGAATGAAATTACCATAGAAAATGTATGAATTAGAAATGTACAACAATTTATTAGAATATTTGTGTCACTCATTATAGAAAATAAATGAATCAATGATTATCTTATGTTGTTTATATTATACTAATCTTAGAAAAAATTATACTGACTCTTCTTTTCTTTTTCTCTTTTCTTCGTCCATTAAAAACATTAGATATTAATATAGGATAAACGAGTAAAAAATATTTAATAATGACACCTAAATGTCATTTGATGGAAGTAAATTCTCTGACAATATTCTATTATAATGTTTCGAATTTACTTCCGAGAAAATAAAAACATAATTTTATCTTTTCTCGTCTTCTGTTGAATCTGCCAAGTCGGAAGAATAATTCTTTTCATATTATTTATTTGAAGAATACGGGTATAGACAGGAAAAGTTTGAGGTACATTCAACAACAAGAAAACACTTTTTTCCTAGAAATTATAGTGAATTCAACAATCTTAAATATTAAAGAGATCATGTTCATAATAAATATTAGATTCAGTTTATTAATGCAAATATAAAGAAAATAAGTATTTTTATAATAATATTAAATTAGCCTGTCAATTTCAATAAAAGAGTTTTAGCATTTTTTTCAATGGATATGCTAAATTAGTATTTCTAAAGACATTTAATAATGTTTCGATGAATAACCAAACAATCAGCTGTAAAATTTATTATGTAAAAAGATTTCATATATATAGATTATGCATCTACAATAAATTATCAATTCTATAAAGAAATTATGTTATATACTTTATTATTTGAAGAATGAACATTTATATATAGATAAATCTTATTTATATATGAACACGGCTAAGCGTTACGGAATTTCATTTTTTCAACTTGTGAGACATGTATCTCCTCAATAACAAGAGGGATGTTCCTGAAATTTTTACCATATATGAAGACTCTAGTGAAAGAACTCATAGCGGAGTACTCAAAAAGTACTCACACTAGAAAATGTCACAAGAACTCATATGTTGTATTTGTCATACACATTAAGTGTTCGAGTACTACTAGCGAGTACTTATATAAAAACTGCCAAGTATTTAAGTACTATAAGGAACTACTCGTTTCTAATTTTACGAGTACTATATAGATACATTTCATATACGACAACATTTGTATTAGTTTTTAATTTATTAATATAATCTGGTTTATGATCATGTAACAGTAACGAGATTAACATAAAAAAGAACGTAAATAATAGAAACAAGATAAAATATGATAGAATATTCAATATTAAAAAACAAAGAAAAGATAGTAAAAAAATAAAACGATAGATAAAAAAATCTCCTCTAATTTTATAAAAAATTAAATTATCTCAACTTCAATACAACTCGTTTGCCTTAATATAATCATGGCAAAGAATATAAAATCATACATGAGTTTTGTAGTGTTCATTTACATGATTGAGATGGTTCTGATGGTATTGCTGGCATTATTTGATTTTCAGTAGTGCTCGTTGATATTGTTAGACGTGTTGATACAGATTTAATTTGATTAGGATTTATACCAATAATTTCCTAGAATTGCAATAGAGATTGGATAAAGTTATATATAAAAAGAAGAAAACTTACTTCGATTTTTGTATAATGCTCATTAGTAAATTCAACTGGATTTGTTTGATTTGCTAATGTCTAGTTAATAGAAAAAATAAAGTTTCTATATGAAACGGATGTGTCTATTAAATTTTACTTATAGCTGGTGCGTTTAATCGAAATTTCTGATGGAAATTCTAAAATTGTTTATTAAACATCTGAAAATAAATCAAAGGCTAGATAAAAGCATTAAACACGTGATTATAAGCAAACGATACTGGCGAGAATGATAGTTGAAAAAAACGAATGACGTTATTTCTATATAAGACTCTAACTCTATCTCGACATATATTGCTATTGGATATCTTCAATATACATAAACACAAGTCACGTTGCTTTTTTTTTATTTTTAATTAACGAATAGTGACGAATAATCTTATTGAACAAAACGGTTCTTTCGAAAAAATATCAAAGCACATGGAAAACAACTTCAATTTCTTCTATAGAATACAAATGTTTATTTGACGAAAAGAAAGAAACACATGAAAATTAAAATCCAATTGTATGTTTTCTTTTCTCTGCTCGAAACCATATGGTCGCTTTGTTGTCTGATAATATTGAAGAAAAAGGAACAGATAAAATACATTTTCATATCTGATTATATTGTGCAAACTTTACTTTCATATTACTTTATTTTTTTATATTTCATATTTGAAAATGTATAACTGTTTTATTGAATTATTTTCCAAAAAAATATATGAGTACTCGAATGAGTACTCATACCACTACTTGCGAGTACAGTTAAACCAGCAACAACTGAATCAGTACGACTACGAGTACTCAATCAGTGAGAATACTCGTGAATTTTCATGAGTACTCATGCTGGCAAGTCGTACTCGCTTGATGAGTAGTTTCACTAGTGAGCTAGATGACTTTTTAGTTTTCTTTCTTGAATGTTTCAACTGAATAATTATTTTAATTTAACAAATTTTTACATAAAAAATGTCATCGACATAATAATTATTCTCGGTGTGAATGAATATTAGAAATATTATTTACTAAAATATGCGAGAATCATTAACTACATATCACTCTTTCAATAAAAAAAACTTGACTCAGAAATTTTTCAAACTAATGATACCATTCGAATCTTCACTCTCGAAAACCTTTGACTTTTAATCTGTAATAAAGAACAGATAAACATAAGAATTCATTTGATTATCACCTCCCGTACAATCGAATAAACTATACATGTTGAAATATATATAAAATAAAAAAACAGTTTCAGACATTTATTTTCTGTGCATATTATGCTGAGAGGTAACACTTTTTCGAGATATTTCCTTTTGATTAGAGGAAACATCATTCGAATATAGGGGTAGAATTTTTGATGATACAGATTTGAAAAACAAAAATTAAGATAAAACTATGGAGTTTCAAGTGAAATATATGTAAAACAAAAATGTGCAAATATTTTCGGATACGCGTTATAAATGAGACAGATAATACGGAAGAATATTTCCAATATTTTAAAATGAATATACTCTTCTACATCATTTCCAGTTAAGTATTCACAAAAGTCTAAATAAAATACTTCAATTTGAAATTGAACTCGAGTTTGGTCGATGCGTTTTCATGAAAATAAAATATTTCGTTATGGTTTTACAATTCATTAGAAAGCTATCGCGTTCGAATCAGGATCTTATGATTAAAGTTCTTTGAATATAAGTTTTCAGTTTCTAATCTATTCAATGAAAGACTTTAATAAATAGGATAGAAGAAAAAAAGAGCCAGTCTAATCATATCAGATGTAGAAATATTAAAAAAATATGATCAATACAAAATTTTAACAATATGCAATAATTATAACAGTTTCTTTTTCTTTTCGGATTTTCTTAATAATTTCAATTCTTTACAAATATGTTCTGATTATTATCGTACAAAATTAAATTATTTACTAGCAAATAGCAATACAATTCCATGTGTCCTACAACGATGAAAATGCGACGCAGTTACACGTAGTTAATATAGCAAAACTCATTTTTTTATACTTAGATATTATTGATGTCCTGGACACACTATTGTCTGTATATTACAACGAATTAGAAATCTAAAACATACTCATATGTAAATATCTGCAATAAATAATGTTTATATACATAATTAATATAAGTAGAGAATAAATGATTTAAATGTTTAATATATGTTTACACTTTGTTGAAGTAGAAGATGAAATCAGTAAAAATTATAATAGCTATTAGAAGAAGTGTAAATAACAAACACTTCTGTATATAAAATGTTTTAATACTCTAATATGTCTAATGCAACTTACATCGTTATATCTTTTGTAAAAAAAAATTATATAAAAAAAAAGAAAATAAGCATTACACTTCTCTTTTCACGTGTTTCCAAGTCTTTTTTTATTGCATCAAGTTCATACAATATATTTCTAAGTT